TTTCAGTATGAAAGATAAGATGATATAAGGGTGGTAGATGCTTTTTTTAAAAATTCACATTTCAGAAGGCCCTGTGTTGGTCTCTGTAGTTGATAGCAATCCGTGGTGCAGAGGGCTGTAAACTTCTACATTATTTTCGCTCTGGTAGGAGTAGTGAGTTCAAACAGTTGCCCACTGCTCTCTCTGTTGTGATTGTAGATTGTCAGACTTAGATCACACCAAGTTTATTCAAGGAGATCTATGCCCTGCCAATAACAGTATGGACTTGGTCTTTTAGCACCTTTTGTCACCCCTAGTAAGGTGAGAGCATCTCACGGTGCCGTGATACTCCATTAGTCTTCTGTGCTCAGTCTGTTCTGTCGGGTTGGTTCCTCACAGATGTTGGGTCTGCAAGACAGAGCTGGTGCCAAATCCCCATGTTCAGCAGGGTGCTGAAGTCGCTGCCATTCCTGACTCTGAATGGCAACCGAGTGCAGTTAGGACCAAGCGATCACAGGAGTCTGTGCATGCTCTTGGGGCTAGAGATTTGGGAATCCCCAACTGCTCATCCCTGTTCATGAGGTGGCTCTTCTCTGCCTCCTCTTGTGCTGGCACAAAACCACACCAAAGACTTAGACTGCATGGAAATGGTTGGAATTCTTTCTGTAGGGTTAATTTGACTGTTTTAGCTCTCTACGGTTAACTTGAATGTTTTAGGTCTCTGGCCTGGCACAGAGTGTGGAAAGGAAAGGAAAAAAGAAAGGAAAGGGAAAGGGAAGGAGGAAGAAGCACTGAGCTGTTTCAGTGTGGAGGCATGCTGAAAATAACTAAGTTCTGGGCAGACTAACAGAGTGCTGACGTGTGCTGTCTTCAGTGTGACAGCTGGACAGATGTGTCCATCTCCAATCCCAAAGCATTAGCCAAGACGCTGTGCCAGAGCTGTTACCCCTGCCTCTGAGCTGCTCATGGATGAAAAGCTGAAAAACTCAGCTGCTTTTGCTGCATGGTCTGGCTTCCAGCAAGGAGGTGGCTTGTGTCAGGCCAGCTTGGCATGTTGGCTGGGCATGGTTGCCTCTGCCTATGGTTCACCCAGTAAACAAAGTGCTTGTTTAGCTGGAGATAGCTGCTTTGCTTTTGGGATTGGATCCAGAGATGAGAAGGTAGCTGCTGAAGTTGCTTGCCAAGGCAGCTATCAAATCTGATGACAGATCAGGCCTTGAGGTTAACTAACAGCAATTATCTTTACCGTGGCTGTATCTATTCTGAGTGATTTTTCGGGGGTTTGTTTTGTGTTGAGTTTTGTTTTGTTTTGAAAAGTTGATGCCTCACAGTGCTGGTTTGTATGTAATTCAAGGGAAATATCAGCCCTCCTCTTGGCAAATACAGCCTTTTGGGTACAAACCTCAAAATTGTGGTGATAAGTAGGGTAGAAATGAGAAATTAAAATGTAAACGTCTGATACATTCTTTTATTTTCATTTGGGAAAGGCTCTTCCAAAAGCACCCCCCTGCTTTGGTAAGAAAGAAGTGATTTCAGAAAGAAACATGTTGAAATCATCAGGCCATCCATTGTACCTGTTTTGGCAGTGAATTTTTTTATCTTAGCCATTCATTTGCATGACCCTAGCTCTTTTTGACTGTTTTGTACCCTTTTCTGTAGCAGATGTTTCCCCCCAGAACTAATCATGGTGTCAGCTTGTGCAAGGTGGCAGGACTGGGTGAGTTTGGGGAGAGGATGGAAGTACAGGTCATAAATAAGTGTATTGTGTGTGGTTGATGATATGTAGCAAGTGTGGTTTAGTAAGATGAGCTTAGTAAATTTAGTGAGATGAGCTTCCAGCTCTTTCTGCAGAAGGGGATGCACATCTTCCTTTACTCTGGCACATTTCTGTGAGATGATGGGAGGTGGGAAAGAAATGTAATTTCTACAGCCAAGTTTCTACGTGTTACTTTTTCAAGTGTTCTTACTGATAGAAGGCTTGGGTGGGTGCCCTGCTGTCAGACTGTATTACCCAGCATTAGCTGGTCATGAATCCATGCTTCGTGTTCACAGGCATTGCTTTTTTTCTTAAAGACTGCTCATGTGGGCAGTTACAATCACTGATGGAATGAGCATGAGTCTCCACATCTCCCTTTTCGCCCTCTGGTACTCAGATTTCAGTAAGTAGGGCATTTGCAGTTTGAAATTTGTAATTGTAACATTATCTGTCAGAAGTGAAGGAAAAAAACCCTGCTAAAATAAGTAGCGTAGAACACACTAGATCTGCTTCAGATAAAGCTGACCATTATCCTGTGCTATTAAACCAAGCGTTCTAAAGGATTAGTAGATACTAAGAGATTGGTTAGTGGTAAGAAGTAAGGCTGCCAGTGAAATCTTTATTTGAGATTCCAAATGCAAAGATCTCTTATTAGAATTTATCCAGTTGTTTAGCTTTTCTTAACAGAGGGTTCATAGGTCACAGAAACAAGTGTGGTATGAAATTTCATACTCAATAGTAACCTGCTTTTAAAGAAAAATAGTCATATTCCATCATTTCAGAAGACAACAGTTACTGCTTTTTGCTGCCAACATATGTTCCTGTGTGTTTACATTTGTGTGTATTGTAAACTGTTTTGATTCTTGTTCTGTTATTTTTATTTCTAGCAGTAGAAGCCCTTACAGCCTCCAAATTATTTAACTGGCTTTCTTTCTAGCCACTTTTTCCTAAGAAAAGGTGACCATACCAGTGATGTGAAAAATTTTGTCTGCAACATTGCCTTGCAATTCATTAACACTGCTGCTTTGCCTCTGCTTGGCTTCATTTCACTTTTTGGGCTCCCTTCTCCTCTTCACAGGAATCCCTGTTTGGGGGATTTATTTTACCAGCTTGTCATCTACCATATAAAGGGACAGGCGAAGGGAAAAGAGGGTTTTCTTATTATAATTGTTTTATTAAGAGAGCCTTGTTATTCCTAATCCACTATAATTTGTCTCGGTTTCCTCTTCCTTAATCTCATTTTGCTCCTATTTCTGAACCTTCTCACCTTCATGCTGGTGACTCCTCCCTCCCTGATCTTTGGGTTTGGATGAAGCTGGGAGGTGTGGTTAGATGCCAGAAGCGCTCAGTTATTACTTACACAGGGAAACCTCATCCTGTCTGACAAGCATACTATTCGTAGCCTTGAGGGATATACCTGAAGGGCACTGAGTTTCCACTCAGAATTTAAGTAGATTAGATTATGTATACATATTTGTTGTGACTTGGCAGGTATCCCAGTGCCCGAGGTCTTAAAACATATACTTTGCTATACTTGAGGCAAGCTCAGCTGCATGTTTCAAGAGATGCTCTGGGGAGATGGGAGGCTGCTGTTTGGAGTCCACCAATGCTGTTTGGAGTGTTATCCTCTCTAGATCTGGTACAACACAGGAATTCTGACTACTGTTCTGTCTAGTCCTGTATTTTGTCTTGATATTAGGTGCTATCAGATGCCTCAAGGGGTGGTATTACTGTAAGATACAGAGAAGATCCTCTCTTATTTAACACTCTGCTGATTTGTATTTTGTCCTGGAAATAGAGGGTTGCTATTATTTTTTCCTGAAGCCCTCTTGAAATCATATTATAATTTTGGATGATCTAGTTATCTATGCAAATCTTGTCTAACTGTATGCTGCCTTCTGGCATTTCATCTCACAGGCTAATACTTTGCTGTTAAAAAACAAGTTGTGCTGTTTATTCTTTTAAAATTTGCTATGCTGTGGCTTTACTGAGTGTCTCTGTCATAAGAACAGATGAAACCTGTTATTCTGAATCTGAACAAGTTACTCCATTGCCAATAATTTCAACAGTTTTATCTTGTTGTCTTGTTAAAAACAAACAAACAACAACAACAAAAAAAAAAAACCCAAAGACACAAACATAAAAATGCAGCCCCAAAATTCAGGTGCTGCAGATGTGCTGGAGGCAACTGTGAAGTTAAAACAGCTGTATTTTATGAAATTCTGTTTGGTATGGCACTTCTCCTTAAAAGGACCAGTGACCAATTGTTTTGATTATTTAGAAGGAAAAAATTCCATGAGAACTGTTACTGAAAATGACTAACTTGGCATTTGTGATCTGTCGCTCTCTTACAACATTTGATGTAATACTGAATTTAAGATAGCTGAAATGTCCAGTTAGCTGCACAGTGCTTCAGCTGCTCCTATGTGACCTATTTATTTCATTTTCTTGTAAATTGGTAATGATATCTATAAATAAATACTCCTCCTTTTTGTAGTGCTGTCTTCTTAATATCCAAGCCTTTGTAAATATAGCACAGCCTGTGCATTTGATAGAAATCTGCAGGACTCAGTTTGCAATACAGAGTGACCTACAGGCTTTGGCAGCAAGGAGCTGAAGTGATTCCTTGGATTTTGCCACCAAAGCAGGGAAGCCTTGGAAGGAGGAATGTGGCTCTGCAGCTGCTCATGAGTGGTGAAGGCTCTGAAAGAGCACAGTGGTTAGGACTGCACTTTAGAAACTAGGGATTCATGGGTCTTGTTGCAAGAGGAGGGAAGACTTGACAGAGAGGTGGGCTGGATTTGGTAAGTAGTTTTCTTTCTTTCTTAAGCAAGGACTGAAAGTTGATAGAAATGAGTAAGCTGGTATGCCTTAGGTATGAGCTGCTTTTCTCAACGCTGCAGAGGGGGATGTGAGAGAGATGGGACCAGGACTTAGCAGTTTAGAAATGTATATATCCATCTGACCCATTCCTTTGGTGTCCTAGAGGCTTACGGAAGATTTTTGAATACAGTAATTACAAATCCATTTGTGTTATCTATTAGAGTAATATCTTAAAGGTAGAGGATGAGGATTAACCCATTGTGGGGATTTATTTTTTTTTCCTACATTATGATAATTCTTCCTATATGCTGAAAAAAGATTTTTCTCTAACAAACAGAAACTACATGCAAAATTCACTGCATTTTCTGTTCTTCTATTTTCCTTTTGTAAGTATGGAAATGTAGGATTCACTTAAGTAGACAATAGGTAAGATTATCCCTTTCTGAACTTTAAAATGGATGAAGTGAGAAAGAATTTCTAGGCTGATGGTTACTGAGAAATAATTAACAAATTCAATTCACGATGGCTTAGTCCACAGTAGGATGTTACATTGAATACAGTGCAGTTCCTCTTACAGCATCATGTGTCCATGCTGAACTGCATTCTCAATGTTGCATCACAAAGGACTACATACTGTAGTAAATGCTTGTTGTGGTGAGCTGGGCTCCACTCAAGGTTTCTTTGGGCTGATTGCTTACAGTGCACTGGAATTTTTATTTCTTCCCACCTGGCTCACTACCCATGTCCTGCTTTACTCCAGGATCATTCTGAGTAGAGGCAGATGCTACATACATGTTGGCAGGTAGGCAAGAGTGCTGTTTTTTGTGGTAGAGGTTGTAGGAAAGTTGGTTATAATAATTGATTAGTTCTAAAGAATCTGCCAAGGCTCTCTGACAGAGCCTACTCAGATATGAATCGTTATGGGATGGACAGGTACAGGTCACTGCCCACATAAATAAAAGAGAGAAAACACACCTGGACCTGGTCTCGGGAATGAATCAACACAAGGGACCACAAAGGATATAGCAGAAGACAAAGAAACTCAACAGGATTCTTGATCAGTACCCTCATACGTGCTCAGGGCTGTGGTTTTGCAAGTGACATTGCCACCAAATCCAGGAGTGAATTATTTTTCTTCTCTCAGATGGTGCACAGTGCCACAACAGAGGCCTGAGGTAAATGGGTTTAAAAAAAAGACCCAAAAAAACAGCAAAAAAAAAAGTCAGTAGCCTCACCTATACTGTAGTGTCCTCCTGGCCTGGGTCTGCTGCAAAGCCCTGTGTCTCCTCAGCTGGGAGCAATATCCAAGAAACTGCTACAGGATCCTGTGGAGGCTGGAGGAGGAAACTGATCCGGTAAGTATTGCATGCCCAATTGCACAATAACTTCACAGGAGGGTTTAAACTACTTTTTCTGGAGCATCGCTCCGTCATTCAGGTAGCAGCCTTTCCCTTGCCATTTAACTTAGCCATTCTCAAACTTATGTCAGACTCCTGTTTTATTTCCTTTCTGTGAACTCCTCATCCACACTCACTGACCACCTCTAAACTTCTGCACTCCAGCTACTGTCCCTCCATCCTTTCATTTCTCTTACTTTCTCACCTAGAGGATCAGCCTTGTTGGTGTCCCCTACCCCTCTTCCTGATCTTTGCTCAGCTAGCCTTACCAGTCCAGCTGTACCGAAGGACTTCTCAGAAACTTTACTGTATCAGCTCCCTGATACCTGCCATGTCTTCTCTTTCCCCTTGTTCTCTGTGCTCTGTGTAAAAAACCTGTTTCATGATGAATAGCATCAAGTTATCTTAGCTGCCCAGATCAGTTGTCCTCACTGTCCAAATCTTTGCAACTCTGTCCCATACCTACCTTGCCTTATTTGGAAAATCCAGAGATCTCCAGAAGGAGCGTGTTAACCCTGCTCTTGCTGTTGTCACCATGGAGCTCACTGCCTGCTCCCTGCCTTGGGGGCCCTGAGGCTGTGGGCAAGGCAGGAAGCAGCCCAGCACAGTTAGGCACAGCAAGGAGCTGCCTGTCCCAGCTGAGCTGAAGCCACGGCATGGCTCATCTCCATGCTCTCTGGAGCTTCTGCTCCTCGTGTTGGGTGCAAGGGGAGATGGTTTGAAGCCTGGAGGGAGCCATGTGTTGAGGGTGTGCACAGACATAGAGAATAGATGGAGATGTATGGGACTGTTTCCTCCTGCTGCTGCCTGCACCCCTGCCTGTGTGACATCCTTCAGCTTAGCAAGCATGGGTTTGCCTTCCTCCCAGTCAGTGACTCTCACAACTGTGCTGCTGACTCACGTTTTGTAGTTTGTCCAGTACCTGACTCCACAATTGCAAGAGCTCTTGATCACATTTTTTGATGGCTTTACATTCTTTTTTCTTCACTCTTGTTCCCCTTCAGTGACATATCGTCTTCTCATCAGTCTTACTTTACAGCTTTAATGATATATTACTTTGCTGTGCCAAGTCCCAGACATGATTCACACTTTTCTGCCTCCTTTCTCTGCTGATTTGATCTCTCATTTCCTCCTCACTAATCACAGCTTTGGTTATGCTGCCCCCCTGCTCCAGACCTTAGTCATGCTCAGTGTTTATTCATCCTAGAACAGTCTCAAATACAAAGCTGTGCTGTTGCAGAGTTTCATTACTGTACTCAATCTTCACTCAGGGTGAGGCACACAAAGAATTTTGAGCTGTGTTTCTGTTCTAAATCTTCTGTGTAGTAGAATTGAGCTTGTGTAGATCTAAAAGCTGCAACAGAAATTTCTTACCTTAGTAAGTGTATTTTACAGTAATTTTCAGGAGCCATAAAAAGAGTAAAAATAGTGTGTAACAGGGAGGTTTGACACGAAAAGTGCAAGTACAGGAAGTGTCAGGTTGTTGGTTTTGGGGTTTTGTTCGTTCCCCTCTAAGGAAATGCTCTTCTAACACTCTTGGATGAAGCTTATTGATAGGTAACCTTGCAGTGCATTATCACAGTTTGCCTGTTGTCTTTATACATGAGGTCCTTAAATGTCCCAGGAATTTGTTAGGGCGTGCTGTCCTTCGGCGTAAGGACAGCTAGTTTCCCATGTATGCAGTTAAATATGTAATGCATATTAGTTTTTTCTTTAAAAACCAAACAAACAAAAAACCAAACAAACAACCAAATGCAGAATCCTTTATACTCAAATTCCCTATCCAACAGTGTCTGACCATTTCAAGTTTTGAAACAATAGCAACCATTTTACCGCATTACATATGTCTCAGAAAAACCTACAACAGCATATGTAGTATGTGGAAGCAATTTGGAAAGCATCTTGCAGTTTTGAAGGGCGCACGGTGAAAAGAGAAACTGGGAGGAAAAGAATCTAAATGTGGTCATAAGGGAGGAAACAAGTTAGCAGTATTAAAATAGACTTTGTAATGAGTGGGGTGACTAGTAACATCTTTATTTTTTCTGATTTCTCTTAGCACATAAAAAAGCTGAAGCCCGTATGAAGAAGGGAATTAGTAGCTAAAAGATAACCATCAAATTTCAGAAGATAAACAAAAGGTGGATCTGAACCTTGAAATTGTCAGCTCAGCAAAGGCAGAGTGGTGAAAGGAGGGTTTCCTGGAGAACCCCCAGAAGATTGTGATGGATAATGCGTTTCTGGAAGGGGACAAGAAACAGGCAGTACAAAGGTGCTAAACCTAAACAGTTCTAACAAAACACTGGTCACGCATTTTATCTCCAACACCCTGCAAAACATAGGAGATATGTCAGATTGAGATCACTACATCAGTTGAGCTGAAGTTTTTCCTGACTACTCTAATTCTTGTGTATACCATATAGAGGAGCACTGTGCAAGACTTGCTTTGTTTTTAAGGTCATTATTTTTCACTGAAGAAAATTCACCGTCAGATAAATCAGTAAATAAATCCATTTGTCTAAACACTTGTCTCAAAAATTAATTGAACACACAACTATTGCAAAATTTATCTCTTTACAACTTCTTAAAAATAAAATGAAACTAAACATACCTTTTTGATTGCAAACTTTTTGCTAGCCTAGAGCTGCTTTCCCACAGCGTGAAAGGAGCTCAAGCGTCTTGTTGGAGAGCACTTTAGAAGAAGACCTTCTCTGGGATTCACAAAAGCATCCCTCTTTCATGTTTCCATCTGCCCTCCAGGATTTTTTCCCATAATGTGCATGAAACATTGATGCATACCATACAGTCATAAGACTATTTTTATTCCATCTTTTTTTGTCACCATCTTCCTTCCACCTTTCTGGAAGCCTGCCCTACTAGCAGTTTGCAGCTGTTCAAGGCAAAGTCTTGCATGTGTTTTTCTCACATCACTTAATGTAGGCTTAAAATCAGGGAAGCAGAATCTCCTGAGTTGCTTTAAAAAAAAAAGAGGAGAGCTTGTAAGTGGCTTGGTGTTTTAGACTGTGAGAATAAAATTTAAGTTTCAAGACATCTGGGTCTTTCATTGTAGATCACCCAGGGTTGGTGAGTGCTTACTGTGGTAAACTGTGTCCAGCAAGACTGAGAAAGTCTTAGGCCAGTGTGTTTGGAGGTGGAGCTGGGACAGAGTAGGGCAACACGTATGCATTTCACGAGCTGCTTTTGTGACAGCAGTGAACCCTGTCTGTCTCTTGACAGGACATGGAGAAACCTTGTGCTACTGTCAGCCTTCCTGACTTGGTTGTCCTGCCAATAACAAGATGATTACCTTGTGATTTAATGGTAAAATTGTTTGGTGACCATGTTACGACATTTCACCAGCGTGACAGGAGCTCCAAAAATGGTTTTCTATTGGTGCAGCTCCAGGACAAAATCTGTGTGGACTTCTGACAGATTCTGGCTTTGCTGCCTGAAGCTGATCCAGTTGTTTCTGCTGGTCACCTGAATCTGAATATTGTAATCCAGGTGGCTATTCTGGATGCTAACTGCCTGCCTTATTTCCCACTGCAGTGTTCAGTTGTGTTGTTCTAAATTATGCATGACTGCTTTTTGTCGTTCACTAATCTGGCATCAAGTCTCAGAATTCTTACGCACTGAGGTGTGCATCCCAAATTGCATTGCACAGTATCAAAGTGCTCTGCAGCAGAATACTTAAAAATGGGACATGGGAACAAATGCAGAGCTATGTACTTATCTCATTCACAAGGATGCTCTCACAGTAACAGGGCTTGTGGGGGCTCTGAGAAGTCCGTCTAGTCAGAGTAAGTTGTTTAGGTGTGAGTTAACAGCATTGCACAAAGCTGTACATGAACAGTGTCAGAAATACATTTGGTTTCTGTGGTCTGTGCTGTGCAGCTTCAGAAAGGCTCACTGGTTACAGCTTTGAAGAGGGATTTGCTTTGGTATTGGCTTAAGTATTCTGAATTTTCAGTTAACCTTCCCTAAGGCATTTGTGTTTTAGTTCTTAAGGTCATTGATACCATCATCCAGCTTCACAGTTGTAGCGGTTGCCTTTCTTTGAGGGCTGGGATAAGAGGCAGGGGAAACAGGGAAACTAGGATCATCAGCATTTTAGTTGGAATAGCTCTAGTAAATAATATTGTTAAAAAAATCCAAAGTTACAAAAAAGCAGTGCTAAACCCTGTCTGTCACAGCTTTTGTCCCCAGGCAGTGTTGTTCAAGCAGTGTGAATCAGGGCAGGAGTGGGCTTCTGCTATAGGCTTTGCTCTACTGCATGGTTGCCACCTATACCCAGGATGTGGTGTTCTGTAGTGGAGAGACCATCCTGTCTCTCAGTCACTTAATATCTGTCCTGCATGAGTTGTCTTTTTTTTCCAAAACTTCCCAGCCATCTAGTGCAGCATCATGGGGGAAATTAGTTCCCGTGAAAGGCCTTGTCCTAGCACAGTCCTTGCAGTTACGATGAGGTATTGAGATTTTTTTCAGCCACCAGCTTGCCCCTCTTATTTGAGCTTGTGTTAACTAGCAGGACTAGAGCACCAGAAACCCTTTTACTTGAATGATAGCTGAAACGGTTAAAAACATCTTCAGTTATGATTTGTTAGGTGACTGTCTCAAAAAGCAAAACATGTAACACCTATGCAATCTATTTGTGCTCCACAACCTAATTACATTGTCTAAATGGTATATGCTCAAGTATTCAGGTTCAGAAAAATCTTCTGAAATGCAAGTATGGAAAATCATGGTTTCAGGGGTAGTCTGGGCCATGCAGGCCTGTTCCAGGCAAATCTGAAGTCTGTATTTGGTTGGTAGATGCTGTAATAAAGCATAGAATTGGTGGCCAACTGCATAGGAGTGATAACTTGAGAAGAGTCAAAGAAGCATTTGTGAGGAAGTCTTGGGGAATTGGAGTTCTTGGGAGGCATCAGCAAGAAGTAAAGATGTTCTCATTCAAAAATCAAAGTGACCTTTATCAAAAGGACTTTTTAAGGAAACTAAGATGCTCTAAGAGGGGAGGTCTTTGCACTAGTAAATGACAGTTTAAGAGGTCAATCAAAGGGTAGAAGTAGAAACTCAGTTCTCAGTTAAGGGAGGGTCCCAGTTAAGTTCCACAGGTATCTGTGAGCAGATATAAGGGGATGAGCAGTTGGGTAAGCAACTTTGCTGTGAAGAACGATGGAAGGACATTAAAGCGCTGAGGACTATGCAACAAAATGGGTGGTAAGATTCAGTGTAGATAAATTATGATGATAACTAAGAAGGATAACTAGGCAGAACAATCACTGTTATATATTAGATTGACTTTGAGCTGAGTATTACCATTGAGGAGTAAGATTTGGGAGTTGTGATTGGCGACCCTGCGAGATCATGAACTCATTGGTCACCAAAACACAATCCAAATACTAGAGTAAAAATGTACAGAATAAATTTTGAGAATGTCATTACAAGAGTGTATGTTCGAGTTGCTTCCAAGTCCTGCGTGTATTTCTGGAGCCTTCAAAGGTTTATTAGAACTGGAAAAAGCTTAGAGAAGGTCAGTAAGGATGATGAGCTACATGGAGTGGCTTCCATTAAAGAACATTTTTGTAAATTGGGACTTTGGTCTGGGAAAGGAATTAATTCAGGGCAATGTTGTGGACATTTGCAGAAGAAGGAAGATGAAGACTAAGCACTGCCTTTCAAAACAAATGCACACACAGTTAGGAGGGAAGGCAGATTCAGAGCCTATAAAAAGAAGAGGTTCTTCATGAAATCACCAGTGGAGAGACCTGTGGGATGACTTGTTAAACATATGTTGTAGATATTATAAAAAATATGGTTTCCAGGAGAATCGTGGACTATTGCTTGGAAGGGTGAAGTGCTCAAAGTTGCTAAACAGAAGCTAGGTATGGTTCAGAAATTCCCTGACGTCAAAGGAGTGAGTGGTCTGAAGAGAATCAGAGAAGTACCACACAGAGAAATATCTGTGACCTGTTCTGTACTACTTGGCTATTACTGAGGATAGAATGCTGGCCTAGATGTAGCACTACACTTGCCTGCACGCCCATGCTCATTTTAAGGTGTCTTGTGACAAAGGAAAATACTTTTCCTTAGAAATATCAAATTAGTTCCTGATCATATTAGTGTTTAAGCTCATGCATCTTTAGGTTGTGTGTTTGTGTTTGCACGTGCATCTGTGGGATTTGCTTTTGCATTTTATTATAAAAATAGCATGGGCCTGTATGCAAATTAAATAGTAATCAAAGTTTATTTTCACAAAAGCATCATCACTTCAAAAACGGGTGCAAATTATTCTTGTGGAGGAGGGGTGGTGGTGGTGGTGTGATTCCAAAACACATGAAAACACTTCCACAGGTTTTAAAAATTCTGACAGTAATTACACTAACAGTGTTATTTGTATCACAGTCTCTCTAAACTTTTTAGAAAAACATCTATGCCGTGCCATAGAGATTCTTAAAAAGTCCATAAAACCACAATCATGAGATGGGTTAGCTCTAGGCAGCTCTTTTTTCCTTTTATTTAGTATAAACCAGGAATCCTGGTTTTATTTATTTTTTAAATTTATTTAGTATAACCAGGAATCCTTTGGAACATTTTGTAACCAAAACTGAGCTCTCAAAATCGAAAGTGGACCTAAGTAATCTGAAATACAGAAAGCCCACAAAGAGATTCTGGATGGTATTGTGATTTTTTTTTTTCTTTAAATTACAGACTATTAGGTCATGCTAAAATAAACATTAGTAACTTCATGTTCTACTTTTCCAGAAACTTAAGGAGGAAAAAAAGGGGAAGCATGATAGAATTTTTCTTCTATATTCTGAAAAAAAAGTTATGTAATCTTCCTTCTAGTGTAGTATATTATAAGAATGGGATACTTTCTAAAATTAAAAAGCTGGTTGTCTAAATTTCTAAATAGTACAGCTCTCAGAATTCCATAGAATTAGGAGCATAAAAAAAGTATTAAACTCAATAGTCATATTTATATAAATACCTATTTTTGTATGATGGCTACTGTCCCGCAGGAATCTAGTGGGTTTTTTCCTCCAAGTGCTTGCTTTTTTAATTAATAAAATATTTAACAGATGTTTACTACTGAAATCTGTGTATTTACTGCTCACAAGAAAAGAAATGTTTAATAATTTTAGTGCATTTATTTCCATTGCTACCCAAATTTCAGACTGGTGTGAAGGGATTGGGATTTTTTTCTGTTCACCCACCCGCAGTTCCTGTAGGTTTGTGGTGCAAAAAAAACCAAAACAAACCAGCAAAGCCTTAAATAAAATCTAGTATTGATGAATCTTGTCTTTTTCTATCTTTTATACTATATTTTTTGTAGTATAACCATCATTCTGTACCCAGTAGATATTAGTAATGTGCTGTTACTTGCAGCAGACTACAATGGTTGCCTGGTTTTAGTTTCAGTGGTTATGTTATTTCATTGTATTCTAGATGTTAGGCTGCTTCCCTGAGGGTTGAGCTCTTATGTGTTATTATCTCTAAGTCATTCTTATGTTTATATCAAAGATTGCTGGAGAGATATTACCACTGTTTTTCCCACATCATTCCATCTTCCTGCAGCAGCTTTCGCAGGCAGTTCTGCTGCATGCCTGGATTTGGGGATTTGGTTGTGTCTTCCTGCAGCCTGTGCATGCTCTTGCTGCTGTCCTACCTTGCTTCCTCAGCCACCCCTCTACACTGTAGGCTAGAGCTTGAATCCTTGGAGCAGGATTTCCCTGAATTGGGCTGTGTGCTATAAGCAGGTGCTGAACTTCAAGATAAGATAAATACAGCCTTGTGTATGTTTTTTAAAAACCCACACCACAAAACTATCTGTTCTTTTGTGATGAGTTTACATATGTGTGCATGCTTCCTTTACATGAAACACCACTGTACCATAGGGCCAGTGCCTACATCTTTGAATGGTTATTTGCAGTAACTGTTGTCTGAAAATGCAGAAGGCCAAGCGGCATCACCCACCTCTCAATGCCATCTTGTCCCACTGGAGCCTTGGTGCTGGACTCCTTTGTCTTTTCACATCTGTCTGTCGGC